TTGCCATCGGCCCTTGGTGCTCACAGTCCCCCTATGGTACTTGCTGGACCGGACTGGGACTGACTGGACCTTCCGCTGACTGACTGTGGACTCACAGCTATCCTACCGACGTTGTACTGCGGTTGCACTGCGGTTTAGTCCACCACTTGACCACTTGCCCACTTGCCTACCTTCTAGAAGGTCTACAGCTAAGCTTCCGGAACTCACTAAGACTCCTACGCTATAGACCTACAGATTGAACCCCTGCTGCCTATGGACCTACGACAGGCCTACCAACTGCCTACGAATACACAGGTCACAGGTTCAATTCCCGGGGCCTACACAGATACTGTACATGGGTAAGGTGAGGGCTAGGGATCGAACCCTGGGCACTGCATCTGCTACTGCTAAAGGTGAAAACCGTTTCAATTGCGATACAAACAACTTTTTTCTGAAGGTCACATCAGAATCCCTCACGGAATGGAAGCTAAAAAAGAAAACAACCAAATCAGACTAAGGCAACCGCCTTTAAACCCCTTTAGCCGCTTAAAAAAACAATTTATATTCCCCTTCAGCCGCCTTGAGAGCCAACAATCAAAAAAAGAAAGGAGCCTGGATTTGGGCTCCTCTGGCCATGCTCAGAAAACCTCAACCAGAAAGTAGAAATGAAATAAAAAAGAGGAGGACAGATTTTTGCCTGCGCGGGGTTGCCCCGCGCAGGTGACCCCCGGGCACGGCCATGCTGCTCAGCTGGGCGAGCCAAGTACCCTTGAGCTTTTTCCGGTCTTTTTGGCTGACGTGTCCACAAGCTGCGGACGATATTCGGCATCCACGGGCCTTCCACCTCCATCTCCTTTCCTTTCTCGTCTCTTCTCCCTTCCTCATCCCTACCACCCCTCTTCTACCACTGCCTCCCATGTCTCCCACGTGCCTAACTGTTGCCCCATGGACGGTCAAAGTTTTCACAACATTTCAGGAGTTTGGGCAACCTGCCAAGACCAGAAGTATGGGGGCTTCAAGTTTCAACCTGGGGTCAGTAGGTAGTACACATTATCAATTTATCATCATAATATGTGACCATAACATTGACAAAACAGACAGCCAAAAAAGAAGGGGAAAAAAAAGGGAAATTTGATTCTGTGGATTCTATGCCCTTGCTCAAAGCTACAAATTCCGTTTATGCTCAACTGGCTTCTGTACCTGGGAAATGGCCTGTGGAAATTATATCCCTGCCTGGGACCACGGTGGGCCAAGATCAGTACCACCAAATTGTGGTTATGCCCAACTACTGGAATGCTGAAGTTTATGGACATACCTGGGGAAATAACGTGCATATTACTGCATTGCAATCAGACTCGCTTGCACTTCCACTTCACAAACATGCAAACAGGTGGTGATTCACACTGGCGCAGGGCGCCCACTCAGAGCTCAGAGATATGGACAACATGAACACAGTTCAGATGCAAGTTCACTTCAATAGGCTATGGCGCAACAGCGCCTGGACATCCCAACTCTCGTCACCACGTACAACACCACTGTTCGCACGCACTCAACTCTCCTCAACTCTGGATCACCCTGAATACACCCACACACCTTCACTCGAAGTCTCACACACACACACGCTATCAGCTACCTCTACCTTCGGCGGCTATGGCCGCTCGCCTCTACCGCTATGGCTACAATCTCGCTCTTCAGCCAACTTCGTCTTCGGCCAACCTGCAGACCACCTACGCACAAGACACTGTAGCAGCGCTTCCGCATGCCTTACGCAGCGAATGAATGAATGGCTGGGCGCTGGCTCTTGCTTTATACTTTTGTAACTCGTTGGTCTGCCCCTTTCCCAGGCCCTTGGTGCACACAGTCCCACACGGTACTTGCTTGACTGGACTCTGACTGACTGGGACTGGTACCGCTGACTGCATAGGTTTGCACTGCCAACTCGATGCAGTTGCACTGCCGACGTAACGCAGTTGGGCTCACCACTTGCCCACTTGCCTCTGACTAAACGTGAGCGACTTCGAAAGGCCACTTCCGGACCTTCCGGAGGTCTGTGGACTTGGCCTTTCGGGTACTGTAGCAGCTACGACCATACCTTTCAGGACTGCCGACCTTGGCCTTTCAGAATACCTACAGCTACGACCTCTACAAAGCTGTGACTCCTAATCGACAGACCTACAGATCGAACCCCTACCACTACACAGACCTACGACAGACGACAAACAACTAGCAAAACACAGGACACGGGTTCAAACACTCGGGTGTCGACTCGATACTGTACATGGGCAAAGTGAGGTCTGGGGATCGAAGTCTAGGGCCCGCATCTGTGACTTCAGAAAGGTGAAAACCGTTTCAGCATAACCAAATTTACCTGGCCAGTTCCTGTGCACAAGCATAATTTCGTGCTCCTGGACAGAGGCCCGGTGGGACTGGGTAGAGGTACAATTTAGCGCATGGGAAAAGTAGGGTATTACGGCATTACCTTAAGTAGGACAGGGTTTGGCATAGACGCAAGTTGGGCGCTGGGACTGGGTATGAACTAAATTCACATATCTAAATGGGGGGATACAGATGCAATTTTCCCAATAACAAACACACCAAATCATGAAGAAAGAAAACGAGCTTCAGTACCTACACAAGTAAAGCCAGTGCGATACGCCTCCAGAAATGGACGAAAGAAAGAGGCCTCACTTAAGAGAGAGAGAGAGAGGGGGGAGGGGGGGCGGGTTATAAATTTGGTTATCCAGGCGTACCGCACTTAAGTCCCAATGGATACACAAACTTCATTACAGAGAGAGAGAGAGAGAGAGAGAGAGAGGGGGGAAGAGAAAAAAAGAGAGAGAGAGAGAGGGAGAGAGAGAGGGGGGGGGGGGGGGGGGGGGGGGGGGGGGTATAAATTTAAACCCCAGATTCGAAAGAGAGAGAGAGGCCTCACTTAAGTGTCCACACAAACGTTTGTCAGACCAGTGTACTTCCTCCGGACATTGGTGCCGACTTGCCTCCTTGGGGTTTCTGATGGGTATTATTTCAGATTTAAGGGCATGCATTCAGCACACACTTCCATTACCAGACTTCAGCATGCTCACAATTATTTGGTGGACATATCGGCTGAGTATGCCCATCACAATGAACTGACAGGCTTTCCTTCCAAGTCCAGCCACAGATAGCCTTGTCTTTTTTTTTCCCTTCTTTTCTTTCAAAAACAAGCAATACAAACACGTTATGGCCGTGCCCTAGGTGTCTGTCCATTCCCCCCCCTACGAAATCGCCAAAATTTAGTCTTTGGCTCTGTGGACTTGCAGCTTACTGGAGCAATGCTCATGTTCACAGAGCCCACATGTTCGCACAACAGAAGGGCAGGATGCTCAAAAGCTCACACCCGATACTTTGCACATGCTTGAGTGTCATTCCTTCAACACCACTGGAAATAAATCGACGACGCAGGATGCTCGAGCTTGCGGACCACACAGGCGTTGGAACAAAAAAGTGCTACTACTAAGAAAGAACCTAAGCAATGCGATCAAAATTGTCAGTGTCAAGGATGACTCACTTTCTCAAAGAGTTCTGCAATGGCTAGCTGAACTTGAGGGGTCTTCTCCACATCGATGTCGATCAGTACCTGGAACACACAGCAAATACACCCCGCACCCAAGAGTGAAAAACCTTTCAAAATGTATCACTCGTAGAAAAAGAAGGATTACTCTTCAGTACAGAACACTTTGAAGTTGCGCCGAAACAAAAAATGGGAGGAACAAAAAGAAAAAAGGGGCTACGTGACGTATCCCTTTTGTTTTTTTTTTCCCTCCCATGCAGTTAGCAACATTTGCAGAGGCAGATTTGATTCAAGAAATGATGACCGACTCCACATCCAATCAAGGACTTGCTTTGACAGAGAATAGCAAAAGCACGCACATGGAACAACCGTAACTGACTCCACTTTTTTTTCTTCCTAGTTTCTTTTCACCTTTTCCCCCTGGCTACCTCCATACCTNTTGCCAGTGGCGCAGCATCAAGCAGAAGCGCAGCAGCACCTCCGCATTGCCAGCACTGGCCAGAATGCCTGGCCTGGGCTGCCTCACTTCTTTTACTGTCTCTTATACACATCTAGATGTGTATAAGAGACAGCTTTAACCCAGCTCACTCCTTCCCCCTCACACCGCTTTCCCCTTAACTCCCTCCTTTCTTCCTTCCCCACTTTCTCCCTTTCAAACCTCCAGAGCCTCCACCCCTTTACCCCAACCCCTTCCGTCCCCGCCTTCCTCCCACCTTCTTTCCTTTCTTCCTAATCCCACCTACGCCGCACCCCTTCCACCCTGGATTCATTTTCTTCCCGACTACCATCCCGCCCTCCATCCCAACCTGTTTCCTTCCCCCGTACCTGCCTTCCCTCCCTCCCTTTGTTGTCCCTCACCTTCCTGCCTTCCCTCCCTCCCTTTGTTGTCCCTCACCTTTCGTCCTTTCCTTCCTTCATCCCTGGTTTCGTTGTTTGTCTCCTCTTTTCCGCTTCTGTTCGTGGTGTTGCACTTACCTGAAGGAGTTCTCGACAGAGCTCAGTTGAAAAAAAGTCTGTGAGGCAGAATTCTTTCCCGGTGAGGTGCTTCAGTGCTCCAAGCGATGCCAGTTGCGACCCCACCACATCCAGTCTAGGAGACAAACCCAGCCCTGTTCCAATTGCCGGCCCGCTGCTGCCTCCAATATACATCATCCAACCCATTCCCATTGCAGGTCGACTTGACGTGTTCATCGCTTGCACAGAATCCAAGGAGCTACCGCCTTGGCACAGCACCATCAGCGCTAATGCCCAGACGACTATGAAGTCATCCGCTTCCAATACTATGCAGCCCTCCTCCGTATGTGAGACTCTCTTCCCATGCGCGACTGTAAAACCATTTGCTGACGCAATGCTCTTCAAAAATCCAACAGTAGATGCCCTTTTCTCACCAGGTATTCCTCCTCCCATATCTGCATTATCCCCTTCTGTCCTCGTCCTCTTTACCCCTTCCTCTCCAGATGCTGCCTTCAGACCCAATTCTGCAACCGGCTCAGCTCCCAATGGCACTATCAAATCGCCGTTGCTGATCCAGCCATATTTTGATGCCGGGATTGAATCACTTGTTACTGCCTCCAAAATGGCAGCCCACGCCTCGTCCAGGAAGGTCCGCACAGCTGCCATCACGGCTGGCGATTTGCTTGCTTGCAGGAAAGGCTTGTACGCCGCCTAAGAACCAGGGCACAAAGTCGACGAAATCATTAGTGCGACGGAATGATTAGACTCATTCGAGCAAACTGAGAGGATAAATAGGAGGAAGAACAGCAGAAAGAGGGAGAAAAAGGAGTGGAGGGAGGGGGAGCAAGTGGAGGTGTGCGGGTCAGCAAAAAGAAGGCATGATGCATTGTTAGCAGAGTCATAAATACCTTGACATAAAGCCACCAGCAGTGAGCACCCAGGATTTGACTGTGGATTGTCACAAAAAACCAACACCATCCATCTGCTCTCCATTTTTTCTTGTCTTTTTTGAAGTTCTTTCCCCTCTTTAAAAATTTGGACCAATTCTCGACTTATGTGTGTCACCCTTGCTCAGGGACGCATGCTGCTAATCCTCTCTGTATCGTTCCAATTTTTATGGCCATGCTACTTTCATAATTTTCCCTTTATTTGCTCTCCATTTGTCTGAGATGCAACACACAAGATTCTGACCTCGCAGGGTCACAAGACTCACAACTCTTAGCCATGGACATTTCGGCAATTCCATCAGCTTGCCAGGTCATCCACACCTGCTCACAAGATCACCCCCCTATGTTTATACTAACTTCATAGCCATCCATACCTGCTCACGAGATCACCCCCCTGCAAAGGGCCTGCTTTATGGTTCCGAAGGCCAGTGTCACTATAGGGGTAGCTGCTGCTTCAGTCGTGTCCAGCAATTCGGCAATTCACAGACATCCGAATTGCTGCACTTCGTGCCTGGAGGCTTGGAAGCTCGGAGAGACTGGCCATGGTAAGCTTCTCAGCAGAGAAGCAATCACAATCTGCCTTCCATAAGGACACACTGTGCTCTTTAAAGTGGCCTCCTTCCCCAAATTAAATGATCGGGCATGTTGTTGTATTGGGGTGTGAGGGCTCCAATTCCCTTGCATGCAGTCATTATAACATCCATGCTTTCCTTTTTAAGAAAGTCCTGTCTAAAGCATGCTGGCAAGTCGAATGAATGTTTACAACTGAGATGTGGATACGGCTATGGGCACACAGGAACAGGTCGTGATATAGGCACCAATGGGCCTAGCTCGGTCGGGGTACACCCATGCGCTGTTGTGATGCAGACCAGAGTTGAAATCCTGACTCGAGCAACCAGATCACCAAAATAAAATCATGCTGAATTTCCTGGGGCCGGTATGATATCTCAAGGCCGTCCCCCTTTTCAAACGAAAAGAGACTACAGTCTTCCACCGAATACAACGTATGGTCATTATAGCTGAATTTGGGATATCTTCTTTCAGTCTAAATACAGCTATAAAGACCGTACGTTGTATTCGGGGGAAGAAGGTAGTGATAGCGAGTGTGAGGGTAGTATGAGAGCTCTACCTGAACAGCTGGGATTTGACTTCTCGCAACAGCATAGTCTCGGAGAAGGCCGATCCAAAACTGACTAAGAAGACGGAGTTGTTTACACAGCAACGGCTTCAGGATCACTGGATCCTCAGCAGAATGCATACTTCCCCAAGCTTGTAGTAGATCCGTCGGAGAGGCCGTTTTATTTTTGGACCCCGCGACTGTGTAGCTCTTAATAGCGGCGTGCGCTGCAAGAATCCCCACTTTGACCTGCATGGAAGAGTTGAGGAGCAACAGATAATGATTAATTAACGCCTAGCTCAGTTGGTAAACCCGTGAACTGTTCAAATACAGACCTGAGTTCGAATCCCTTGACGAACACACAAAATAAGGAAAAGCATCTCACGCCAGCAATACACACATACCACAGGGGTTCGGTGGCTCTGCGGCAGATGCTTTTTTTTGCCTTTCTTGATTTATGCATGTTATCCTTGTGCAGGGGTCATGCTAATCTTCTCTGCCTGGCAGATCTTAACAGCCGCGGATGCTCCAAAAATAGCCACTTGGACGTGAATGGAAGAGTTGCACCAATACACGTTACTACGCTCATGATGAGCAGGTGATCAAGACCCGCATAGGACAAGGTTTTGGTGGCTTCGTGGCTCGCAACAAGGTGCCCACTACATATTTATTATCAACTAAAAGAATGCACTCTGTGGCACAAAATGAAGACCAGAGCGCACAGCATGAAACACATTGAAACCATACTTTATCGCCTTTCTGTGCTGTTCTTTCTTTCATTTGTCGACCCCAGGTAGCATGTCTACAAAAGACCCATGCACGCAGTTGTTGAAATATCCGGAAATCCATAGGGTGAAAGATTGCACAAATGACCTAGGCTACCCGAGTGGCCCAAAGCAAGTTGCCCGGTCGTGCAAAAACAAATTAAAAACAAAAAACAAAAGTATTTGATAATTTTGATTATTTTTTCATTTTTATTTTTTATTTCAAAATTGGTAAAGATTTTGGATGTGACCCTGAGGCAAAGTTACTCAGTTTATTTTTCTGCATGACGTTTTTCTTTTTCAGATTTTTATCATCTTTTGGATTTATTTTTATTTATTTTTTTGCTGTGCCTTTTGCTGGTCTTCCCACTCAGCAGGGGATAGAGCCTTGACGACAGCGATCACAACACAAACAACAAGAACACAGTGTACCTACGCTGAGGCCAACACTTGTACGCTAGCATTGCACAAATAGAAGGGGTTCGCCTGTCCGTCAATACAATTGACCTGATGGTTCATTTATGGCATGGTTGCTGCACATCATGTCAGACTTACCCGGCATCCAACCCATTCAGCAAATGAAGGGTGACTGAGATCATCCCACTTGGAAAGTGGCAGTGATAACAGCGCCATCACACGCTGGATAACTCCTCTGTCACCACCTGTCAGCCCGCAGGTGATCAACTGCCAGGAATGCAACAAAGACAGGAATGCATAAAATAATAAAAATATGAGAAAGAGGCACACAACAAGGTACACCGTACTACGGACTGCATTCATTTGCAATGCTTCATTTTGCAGCGCCTACAGCTTTTCACTTGTGATCTTTACGTTTCCTTCGGAGGCCAGCCCAGGCGGAGCTTGGGGGTGCTTTTTTTTTTCGAATCAGCGTTGTTCTTTCTGGTGGGGGTGGGGTGGTGCGGTAAATTCCATGAGCCGTCTCCTTTTGAGCCCAAGTTACAGCAGTCCATCCCTGGCAGAGCCAATCCCTCCTCCTCTGAGAAAATGACGCTGGCCATTCCCTCATCCATCACTTCCATGACCCTCCCATGAGCCCTCTCCCTAGGGCCTGAAGTGCACTCTCTTGTTGTCTGTGTCTGCATGTCCGCTCAGCGATGTCCGCATTCACTGTCCACCAAATATCTGCTGATTACGCTCACAGTCCGCATCATTGCTATGCCTTAAGCCCATCCCCACTGGATGACAGAAACAGACCAGGACAGAACCGACTGACTTCACAGGCTACAGAAGGATAAGAGGCGTATTCCAGAGCCCTTGCAACTTCTCGAGTTGCAACGTTATGATGAGCTGAACTACACCTGCCCTTGTGTGTTTTGAATTTTCACCACAACCCAGATGCATAGATCATATATCAGAGCAACTTTAGTCCTATTGCAGACAACAGTGGGGTTGAAACAATCCAACAATGAAACAGTTTTGCCTCCATAGCAAGCAAGAAGGAGCACAATGGAAGCGTTTAAATCCCTTTCTTAACTCTCGCTTTTTCGGATCCAAAATTGAAGCAGCTTTTGTCCTATTGCAGACTACGAAAACACATTCAACAATGAAACAGAAGTTGCTTAACCCCTATAGCAAGCAAGACAGAGCATAATACAAGCGGCTTGTGTGTGTGTGTGTGTGTGTGTGTGTGTGTGAGAGAGAGAGAGAGAGAGAGAGAGAGAGAGAGAGAGAGAGAGAGAGAGAGAGAGAGAG